CCTCAGGTGGCAGACGTGCTTAGTGTATTTAGATGACGTCATCGTATTTTCTGCCACACTCGACGAACACATGAGGCGACTGCACTTGGTATTTCAAGCTATCCATTCCGCCGGACTGACACTTTAGCCGGAAAAATGCCACTTCGGCTTCGAAGAGCTTTTGTTCCTGAGACATCTTGTCAGTAGTGAAGGTATGCGGCCTGACCCTGAAAAAAAAAAAAAACTGCCGTTACGAATTTTCCAGTGCCAACTGACAAAATGGCGGTCAGATGGTCTTAAGGACTGTGTGCGTACTACCGACGATTCATTGAGAACTTCTCGCGCAATGCCTCGCCGTTAACCCGCCTTACCACAGAAGACGTCGCATTCGTATGGAATGAAGAACAGCAAAAATCATTCGACAAGCTGCGGCAACGCCTTCAGAAGCCACGAGTCCTCGCACACTTTGATGATGACGCCCCGACAACAGTGCACACCGGCGCTAGCAATGTCAGCTTAGGAGCGGTACTTGTGCAGCGGCAGGATGGCACCGAACAAGTAATTAATTACGCGAGCAGAACTTTCACGTGCGGAAGGTAATTATTCCACGAGAGAATAAGTGTCTTGCGGTGGTGTGGGCGGTTATAAAATTCCGCCCATATCTGTATGGTCATCCTTTGGATGTTGTCAGCGACCATGACTCCCTCTGCTGGCTGACGAATTTAAAAGACCCTTTAGGACGGTTGGCGCGCTGGAGCCTAAAGCTTCGAGAATTTGACATGACGGTGGTCTACAGATCGGGGAAGCGACATCCAGACGCTGATTGCCTTTCTCGTGCGCCATACGAACCTGCGACGGCAGAAGATGACGATACTGCCTTTGTCGGAGTTGTAAACACGGCAACTGTCGCAAAGCTACAACGAGACGACCCCGAACTAGAACCCATAATACGTTTTGTAGAGGGTCGCATTTCAGCTGTACCTAGACTGTTTGGGAGAGAGCTTTCGTCATTTTGCTTGCGCAACGACGTCCTGTATAAGATGAACTTCTCGCCACACGGAAATGACTTCCTACTCGTGGTCTCGACACCTCTAAGGAGCGAAGTATTACAGGCATGCCACGATGAACCAACATCCGGCCACTTGTGTTACACGCGTACGTTGTGCAGAGTGAGGCGAAATACTACTGGCCAAGACTGACGGCGAGTGGCATCCAACATATTTCGTGATTATTCTAGCTCAGCAAGCAAGCAATAAAGAATAAATCATTGCTACGACGCGCAGTACCTGTTCGACTTCAGAATAAACGTAGTAGAAATTACCAGTGACAAAATATAAAGCACCAGCGAACCGTCAAAGTGAGGCCGACTGAACGATGGCATGGGCTGGCTGCGTGGACAACCCCCAAACGACAGTTATGACGGATGCCGCATGGCGATGCCACCGTCTGTGAAAGCTGCGAACAAAGCATCGGGACGATGCTTTCTTGATTGAGAGGCTAATGTCACGGCTAAAGGCCGGGCAAGAAGACAGGACGGCGAAGTGATGAGCATGGACAGCACCCACGGTTTCTCCGAGGAACACGACGTCGAAGTGGCTGCTCTTTTGTTCTGTTATTATAGACCTCGTTTTTCCTGGTCTCTCCGTCGTCCTGTATCCTGTTATTTTCACCTCGTGACAATATAATCCAAAAAATTTCCCTGAGCTACCCAAAGATTTCTTTTTTCAGCTAGTTCAAGAAATGGAATTCAATAAAGTACTCTCTGAGCTGTAAAATCATATCGCTATAGTCTACTCGTATGCTACGTATACTCTGGGTTCGTCCGTTGGTCAGCAAATTTCTGTTTGACGTTGCATAAGCTGTTGCAAGACTCGAGGAAAGGGGGGGGGGGGGGGTTAGTTCAGCCACACTCCCACCAGATTTGGCGGAAAATTTCGCCCTTGTAGCTGTGACCTCCGTGAAGGCTTGGTGTCCTCCACGATGCATTTTAAGAGTGCGTGAGTGACGTTGGCCGTTTTAATTATTGGATTGAACGTAAAACGCGCGTTGCAGAAGTCTGGATGCGTTCTTTTGCTGTGTGCGCTGATTCGCAATTACGAGATCGCGTCTCAGTATTAGAGACGACGCATATGGGAAATATTTTGGCATTTTATTCCAATTTACCCTATTTATTTTTAACTGCGCTCTTGAGCTGAAAGAAAATAAAGAATAATTAATTGGAATTTTGGTCGTTTCTGCTTATTGTGGTTGGGGCCCTACAGGTGACAGCGGCTTGTCAGGCGGGGTCCCATTTACTTTACAGGTACGCGCGAGTCGCGCTTAATTTGCTCCATCTGCGGTCATAAATCAGCCTTGCAGGCGTATATAGCTGTAGCATATTGTAGCATATTTGAACCCCCAATTAGTCAGCCTTGGGACGTTTATTCTTCATGTGCACACGAGTCCGAGCGATATGTCTTGTGCTGACACAGCTAGGGGAAGCGTAGCGTCCCCGTCACCGCAGCACAATCACCTGTGCAAAAAAAAAAAAAAAAAAGAAGAGGGAAGCGCACCACCTGCTGAGTTTCCCCGGAAAACGCGTGGTTATGCACAGTCCACTTGGTATGGACAGCTACGTAAACACTCCGTGCTTCGGCGACACGAATCCGAAGTACATTGAAACGGGGCTCACAAATTCACTTCCCCGTGTACTCACTCATACTCGTCGTCTCTAATACTGAGTAGCATACTTCCCCTCACACATCTCCACAATACTAATAACACACGGTTTTTTGAAAATAGTAACCTTCTGCTTCCAAAATTAAGCACTAACTATGGCAAAATGACAGCCTTGTTTTCTGCAATTTCTTTCTGGAACTCTCTACCATCAATTATTAAATCAAGCCCCTCATTACATTGTTTCCGGCGGCATCTAAAACAGTTCTTACTAACAACATGCGACACATGAATATATATGTATATGTATGTATATATGTGTTTAAATACGGTTATAAGCATTTATGTGTTCGTGTATAGGTTCTTAAGTGACACTGTATTAGTTAGTGATATGTATGTGTTATGTTATAGTCATTTATTCAAATTAGTTATCTCCTGTTTTATCACTTACATGTAAATATCTTGAACTACCATAAGTTTTAATACTAATTTTCATTACGTTCAATTTGTTTTATTCGCTTGCTGTTTTTTCCTTAGTTGCCAATCTTTGTTCTATATTTTTATACATGAATTCACAGGAGGTCCCCTGACAGTTTTTACTTTGGGACCTCCTTTTGTATTATATCAACTTTTTACTTGCACTTTATTGTACTGAGTAAAAGTGGCTAAAAAGTGGCTAAGCAATCTCTCAATCGCACAGCTGCGCACACAGTCGTTGATTGCATCACTCTGAGACACAATCTCCTGATTGCACAGCAGCGCATACAGCAACAGAGCGGGCCCCGACTTCTGCAACGGGAGTTTTACGTTCATTCCGTTAATTGAAACAGCCAACTTCACTCACTCCAAAATGCACCACGAACGACACTAAACCCTCACGGAAAAGTCACAACTACAGGGGCAAATTTCTCCACCAAATTTGGCTGCAGTCTGGCAACAACCCCTCTCCATTGTCTGGCAACTGAGATACGCAACGCCAAACAAAACCTTGCATTTTGTTCGTTTTTATTTAGTGCCTGTAATAAACAATAGTGTAAATCATTAGTCTGTTCATTGGCAAAGAAAACAAACAAGGATAGTTTTTGTGACGTTGTAACCACATTGCAGTATAACCGGCTCTGCCGGGCCTAGTCGCACAAGTCCCCGGGAATTAGACAGGCCCGTTTTTTGTACTTTGTGTTTTTTGTGGATGTGTACAATAAATTATTATTATTATTAGTTTCACGGATCACGGATCAAAGCCAACGGGGAGTAGACACTCACCGTAAGAGGGGAGTCTAGAATGACGTCTACCTGTCATGAATAAAGGAGCATGAGGCAAGTGCAAAAGGTCTGCGAGTGGCGATAGCGTGCGGAGCCGCTGTGAAGTACTCGATGGTGAACCCTTCACCCCGCCGCGGTGGTCTTGTGGCTAAGGTACTCGGCTGCTGACCCGCAGGTTGCGGGATTGAATCCCGGCTGCTGCGGCTGCATTTCGATGGAGGCGGAAATGCTGTAGACCCGTGCGCTTAGATATGGGTGCATCTAAAGAACCGCAGGCGGTCAAAATTTTCGGAGCCCTCCACGACGGCGTCTCTCATAATCATATTGTGGTTTTGGGATGTTAAACCCCACATATGAATCATTGTGGAATACCCTTCTACGGTCGTGCACGTGATTGCTAAAAAAAAAAAGGGCTCGTGGCGCGCACCGAGGTGGAAAACCACAGAAGATGAGGTGAAATTGTCCTGTATAGCGCCGAACAAAGAAGGTTGAAGGAGACAGCGTCACTTTCCCAATGAAGGCTCAGGTAACCCGGATCCAAAAGTAGTGGCGCGACGGTCGATCTTGGTTGCCATCGACCTTGGTAGACACCGAGAGATGCAGTCCGAACCTGCAGCACCTTGTCAAAAGCAGTTACCGGGACACGTACCGCTCTTCACCTTCTTAACAGGACGACTGCTACCCACTTGGCCATGCAACATCAACGATTAGGCCTAACGTGCCAAGGCCCATGATGACCGGGTCACAAACGAAGAAGAGAAGTGTATCGGCAGGTGGACTTGGGCCGAAGACGACCTCAGTGAGTTTCGAAGACTTCAACGACGGAACACTTTGTCATAATTTTAAAGTGTCATAACAAACTGTAAGACGTTGGACTATTGTGTAACCACATAAAAGTAGCTACAGAGAGGCCATCTTGGCTATAGTCTGGTCTGGGCAAAGGTACTGAACTTAACTAGAATCGGTGTTCTTGCTCCGTTAGTTTGGAAAATTTTTTGTGAGAAAAACACTCAGCGAGCGTTTACTGTGCTGATTGAATTATCATTTGAGCAATAATTTTGCAAGTTAAGTAATATATAAGGCACAAAACTGCAAGAAATACTCACTCTTGTTGCTGTTCCCATCAGTGGCATCACTATCGCGTACAGTGTCATCACTGTACCACTGACCAGAGCTGAAAAATTTGATTTACATAAAGTTTTCAGGTGAGTAAAGAGGCATCTTGACATGCAAATCACGGCATAAAGAAAATACTGATGACTTATTTGTATCACCAAGAAACATCCCTTCCACAAGAAGTAATGTAAATCATTCTAAGATGCAGCATGATGTCATTTTAGGGGCGAAGCTCCTTAGGGTCGATCCTGGTCCCTGCGATGTCCGTTGTCTAGGCTTTCACGCACTTGGAGCACCAGCCACGAGCACGCCGATTGTAGGAGAACGACGATCATGGGTGTGCTTGCGCCATGTTGCTTCTTTCGCTGCTGTGCCCCAAGATGTATAAATCTTGCTCGCTCCCGGCTCTGTTCCTCTCATGATCAGACGCTTCGTTGTAAGAGAAAAAAAAGAAAAAAAATAAAGAAAAGAAGAAAGAAAAAGGGAAGAAAGAAAGAAAGAAAGAGAGAAAGAAAGAATGTATGGGGGTAATGATCCCCCAGAGCTCCGCTCATTAGCGTTCACTTCGTGGATATGCTGTGATTTTTTTTACAGAACAACAACCTCATGTTGGCTCAAGTTGTCCATGCAATGCAGTCATTTTCGTACCAAATAATCACTTATACAATGTTTTCCTGGTGTTGCACGTCTAATGTAATAATAATATTCAAAAACATTTTATGGTGGTAGTTCTTAGTGCGAAAATGCAATATAATGAAAAAGTGCAGCAAACACGTCCAAATGTCAAGTTGTGCTCTCGTATATTTCAAGTAATATTTGTTAGATGTGTGCTTTTTACGGGTGCCTAAGTTTAGTGGATGCAATTACTTGGCAGCTTGCACGCAATAAGGAAATCTAGAAATTTAATCAAAATGTGCTCCCAAAATATTATCTAGGACAGAAGCATGCTAGGTCGTGAAATTGAGTTTATCACAATATTGCTTTCTAGCTTCATTACCATGGCTCTTTATTTATATTTCATAAATACTTGTGCAATTGCTTTTTCAAAGAACCAATGTATTATTTATTATTACTACAGTGTAACTTTGACTCGCTGTTTATAACGTGCTCGTGACTAACATAATTCTTACTTTGACTTTTGTGGTATGCCCTTCGATATCTTGACGGTGCAAAAAGTGTGAATAAGCTGGGCACACTTCCGTTCGTACATATGGATGCTCTTAAGCGCTTTTACGTTAGTATGCAGATGGTACAGCCTTGTGGCTTGTGAATACAAGCCAAAATTAACAGCAAAAAATAAGGTTGCTCTTTACTTCCGAGTAAACATTGTGAAATGCTTAGAATTCAATATGTTATTTTTATGTTATAATTATTGTGGTGTTCATTTATTATACCTATACAGTGCTATATAAAGCGGTATATAAATGCATGACTTAAAAACAATGATACTCCACCTAGCAGACGCATGATGTTAGTCGCTCGCTGCTCACTTATCTTCAAATATGGTGAGACAATGTCAATGTAGAAAATTGCTGCATGAGAGTTCACAATGGATGAGACAGTGCTGTAACGGGAAAACAAAAACAGTTGAGAGAATAAGTTCCGGAAGACCCAGAAATTCTGTCTGATTGCCTTTTCTTGGAGTTTAGAGGATTTCAGCAAGGCCCCAACTTTAAGCAGTAGCACAATGAAGCTACGTTGACAGAGCTCGTTTAGATGCGCTGCTGCGCCATGAAGCCATTTTCAAATGCTCTCGATCTGGAATCAAATTTAGACAGCGCACATGTGTACGATGTCGTATAATTGCTTCTACAGAATGAGGGAAAAAGTCACAGCTTTGCCGCAAAGGCGAAGCAATGAACGCGATATCAACAAATTCGAAGGTCACACGCAGAATGGCAAGCAGATCGAAACGTTCCCCGTGTTTCTCACGCACAAATGACGCACGAAACGTACTCACAGGTAGAGATTAACGCGAATAAGCGTCTTAGTTGCTACTTCGCTGTGTCTGAAAAGCACACCATTTTCGCAAGCGGAAGCTGTGCCATGACTGCATTTACCTTTGTGCGCCCGGTAGCTACAACAAATTGTTCCCACGAAACCCAAAGGCTAGACAAGATGTGCGATTCTCTCCACTGCAAGATAAAGGCACGCGATCGAGTGTACACCCTCTTATTCTCTACGTGGGCCAAAGCACGCCTGAGAGATCAGAGCTTCCGCGCGCTCACTACGACACCTTGCTGATAATGCTGAAAACACGATAGTTCTCCCCCCCCCCCCCCCGAGATGCCCGCCACCAGCTGTAAGTGGTAGATATGATTAGCTTGCCGTTTGAATGTTGAAGGAGGTACCCTTCGGTGGCTCAGTGGTTAACACCTCGCATTCACAACGCGGAAGTCTCACGTTTGATTTCGCGCAGCGGAGTTTTTCTTCTGAGATTTTTCAAAGGCGATAATCTTTGTTGGGGACCTTCCACCCAAAAGTTTTGTCTGCATGTTTGTACATTTGTCTGTTTGTCTACTTTTAACAGCATCGGGTATTGGAAAAGGCCGACCCCATCCGCGGTGCCCACCTATGTTGCTCTAGATTCACCGTTCATAATTGTGCAATTATCAATAAAAAGCAATTAGTGCGCGTGTCTGGGGCACCATAACAACATATATTCCGCATGTGCGCCTTTTACTAGAAAAGGTATACATAAGCAATTTTAAGGACCGTAGCGCTTATCACGCTGCGCTGACCATCCAACGCTTGCACGGAAAGATGAGTGTTTCCAACGCTTTGCTAAAACGAGACGGTGGTGGCACTTACCTCTCGCCTTGCGTTCTACGCCTTATCACCTCTGAGGCGGGCGCGCACACCCGTCTCAGAGCCACGCGCTTTGTTTTTGAAAAAAAAAAACTGCCAGATGGCGCTCATGTCTCACGTGTGACGCGATTTGATGCGTTCGTTCGCCTCCACTGCACCCTTGAGGCACTCTAACGCAGCGCCTCCAGAATACCATTCACCGATTTGCTTGAGCAAAACATCAAATAAATGTTTTGTTCACTTTCTACCAACGCAAAACTATCGTCTTTCGACGACATTTGGAGATTAAATGCAGATACGGGGCCAATTTTTTTCTTTTTTGCGTTTTCATGTATATAGATACGTATACATATGGTGCATGACATCGACGCTGACGTTCACATCGACGTCGACACCAGTGGTGAAATCCAGGCGAGAGTGTCCCTATAATTGCTATCGCGATAAAAATAAGTTTGCTGAACTTGTATCGGCATAGATGGATATAAGTGAACGGTGAACGTCAACTACACGCCATGGCATGAGCAATAATACAAGTTTGCCATACTCGCCCGCTTGATTGATTGATTTGTGGGGTTTAACGTCCCAAAACCACCATATGATTATGAGAGACGCCGTAGTGGAGGGCTCCGGAAATTTTGACCACCTGGGGTTCTTTAACGTGCACCCAAATCTGAGTACACGGGCCTACAACATTTCCGCCTCCATCGGAAATGCAGCCGCCACAGCCGGGATTCGAACCCGCGACCTGCGGGTCAGCAGCCGAGTACCTTAGCCACTAGACCACCGTGGCGGGGCGCCATACTCGCCCGCAATTCTGCTGCCTCACAGAATGGCCCGTGTGGGTGCGCACCACATGTATCGAACGGTTATTATTCAGAGCTTCTACCGATGGAGGAACGTGTGCAATAGAGCCTAATAATTTCATAATGAAATCTGTGCGTGTTAAGCAGGATGAAGGCGACCTTTGTTAGTAGGAGTGACGTTATCACACAAGCACAGGAAAACGTACAAAAGCGTGCTGTGACTAGCCGGAGCAAGTAACGTAATGTAACATAAGTTACAACATAACAGCAAGTAAAGTAGTGCAAGTATAACATAACAGCAAGTTTAATAGTGTAACATAGGTTGTAACGCAAGAAACAGAAGTAACGTAGTGTAACGCAACGTAGTGTAACATAAGTTGTCATGGTCATGTCGGTCTAATACCAGCAGTGCTGGTAGAAATATTTAGTCATTCACTCTTGTCACAATGGATAATAAATATCTGCCCTTATGATTCAGCAAGCTCTGCTTCAACGTTGCAGATAGTACAAGCGAAAACTGCTTGTAACGTCAAGAATAGTGCACCATGAGTTGCAATTGTGCCGTGAACAGTTAAATTTTCACTGCAATAACAATTATACAGAGAATCGTGGTTGGTTTCTACCATTACCATCATGTTCCGTATAGATCAATCAACCAATCACTTTTTATTTGAAGATCTTATCAATACAAGAAAATGCACAACACTGGCTATAGACCCATAGCCACTGGCTGGTAGGGGTATAAATAAATACTCATATAAAGGAACATGTTTAAACAAAGTAGATGTAAAAAAAGCACACTTGAACCTTAACAACAAAATAGAAAAATATGGAGGAAAAGTGCCGGTTAACAACACCGCTCCGCGCATTTAATTAACGCGAGTAAATGCGCGTAAGCGGGTGGGAACGAAGGCGGCTGAGACAGCGGTGAAACGAGCCGGCCATCTCTACTTCACGAAGGCCGCATGCGATAACAGTGCACATACGAGGCCCATCGTCGATTGCTCCTCAATCTGAGAGGAAACGAGGGACTCGTCTTTCGTCGGGCGAAGACTCATGAAGACTTACCGGTGTATAAAGGCGAGGGGGGGGGGGGGCATTGTTTGAGCCGAAACTGCGTACTTTGCTCAAAAGGACACGTTCGTAGGGTCGCCATCAAAATGCCGAAAATTTAAGGCCGAATACCAAAATGTCAACAGTGGAAACGCCTGAATAAAGAAATGCCGCAAAGTCAATATGCCGAAAAGACAGAAAAAATAATAGAATACATAAAGCTGGCAGCGGCTTTGCGTTCGTTTAGATTTTTGTGATTTTACAGTGCTCACTTGTAAATGTGCACCAGGCTCTGCTGCTCTCTTTTTTCTCTTTATTTGTTTTCTGCTATGTTGCTCCTCGTGCTTTTCTCACACAGTTCTGAAGGTCCATTTTTTTGCATTTTCCTAGAAAAACATTCATTCGTTTCTTCTTTCTTTCCTTTCTTACTTCATTCATTCATACATTCATTCTGCATTCGTATAAACCAACTAGAAGGCACAGAACATCGCACGTAGATCTGTTATCATCATTGTCACCACCACAGATGTTTCAATAGGTCACCATTTGCTGATGCCGTGACTGATGATGATTGGAGCGAAGTTTAGCCCTTTATAATAAACTTTGACTTGACAGCTCTTGATACGCGGTTCACATGGTTGTCCACAAGTTCACAAGTTGTGAACTGCCACGCAGTTCCCAACTTGATACGCAGTTCACATGGCATGATGCCTTGTGTTCTTGCATGGCACTATACCACGCATGTTGCATCTGTCGACGTGTCTCCTTGCGCAACACGACCACTTCATGGTGAACTTCCCTAAGATTACTATATCACTGATTAGAGTATGTGGAAAAATGCCTGACTGCCTCGCCGAACACCTGGGTTTGATTCATACTGTATCCGTCATTATTATCTGATTTCGATGGTGTGAAATAGGTTGCTCAATATAGTTTCCTATAAATACTTTAGAGGGAACTCTGGCGCTAGTATCTATGAGATCTGCAACGCACAATGCTTCATCAAGCAAAGGAATGAGGGGCAGTACCCGGACTTGAGTATTTTTCGCACTTTCGGCTCCGTTCGACATCGCGTGGCTTTGTCACAAAACGAAAAATGAGAAAATGTAAAGGCAGTTGTACTACAGCGTATAGAAATATACTGGCTAGAGGGCTGAGCGCGGGTTAGGAGCTCGCCCCGCAGCTCATGACTGCCGGCGGCGCCCGCATGGTGCGCTGCTGTGCAAGTGGGTGCATTTGCGTTCAATTTTTGCGCTCCGCAAGCGCTGTGAACCTTTCAGGAGACCGAATTGCGCGAGGCCAACTTTTATTTTCTGTACTTTCGAAGTGTTTTTTTACAAAATGCTTTATTGTATAAGAACTACTCGATTGCGTTCACGGTATCAGCACTTTTCAATAACATATGCAGATCATTTTGTGACATACATTTCACCATCCGTTACCGCCCAGAAAGAAAAAAGCATATCCCACATAACTTGGGAGTCAATGCTGTGCAAAGCATGCGGATGGAAGGTGACTCTGTTGTAATTTTTAATTAAAAAACATTATGAAGTGGTGCTAAATATATGCAAGAAATAGGATAGCCAACAGTGGAACCAGAATTGGCATTTCGCGGACATTAGGCTCTTCTTAATTGCAAAGTATTTCGGAGACCTGGCGTGGCTATGCGGTAGGATACTTGATTACCACGCTGAATGCTTGGCTTCTATTCCTCTGCTGGGACATAAACGTTTATCATTTGCATTCGTAGTGTCAACGTTGCCAATGTCCTTTTTGTCAACGTTCACGCGTTAAGAAAGGTGTGGCGAGAAGGGTTTAATGGCGTACTTGACGGGATGGTTACATTATTCATGTCAGGACCAGCGAGTCATATTCATTTAACCATCTTACCCACGCACACTAATTTTGGTTTACTGTAAGTTAAGGGGTGATCGTGAGAGCACCCAGGAGTAGGCGATTAGATAGATAGATAGATAGATAGATAGATAGATAAATAGATAGACGATAGGTGATAGATAGATTGATGGATAGATAGATAGATAGATAGATGATAGACGATAGGTGATAGATAGATAAATAAATAAATAGATAGATGATAGATAGATAGAGAGATAGACGCTCAAAGTAGCTGCAGTACACAAAGAAATAATTTTAAAGATCATTGACAGTATAACCACCAGTGTTACTTTTGAAAATGTGCTTTTTTTAGGAACAAAAATTATCACAGAATACCCAAAAACGTTTACCTCTTAGCCTGCCTTCCACTAGGATTCGAGTGAGAACAAAGAATTATAACATGCCAATGAACCATCTGACACTCACCACATATGATATTCAATACGTTTTTGCAAAAGTAGTCCGACGTTGAAATAGGGAAAAAAGTGTGTTACTGAAATTCAAAGCGGTATTTTAAAATTTTTAGATAAAGAATAATATTTGAAATTATGCCTAAATGGCGATTCCATTTCTGACACCATTTACCTTAACCAAAAAAGGTGGTTCGATGCAGTCACTCACAAAATGCCTTTCGCACACAACAGCCTTCGGCATCGACCTTCTGTATGCCCACTTGGTCCTACTTTTCCATTAAAGAAACTGTGCTGGATTCGTTGGAACAAGGCACCTTTCCTTGTTCGACTGATAACTGCTTCGACACCGAGCGGCAGAAAACACGTCCTTCATTTGCAAAGCCGTTTAGCTTTTAACATCTCGGGATGTTGCAGCCTACATCTGGCGCCGTCGAACTTCACAGTAAATCAGGTGGCAGCTGTCACACACTGGTTTTAAACGTGGCAAGGCTCCGACAGCAACAGGACGAGAGGAATTTCGCGCGTTCGTGCACCCTCTCGACACGCAGCGCCGCTTGTGGCATCTGAGTGCAGCCATCACATGCGCGGCCACCCACTCTCGTACGGAATGCGCGCGCTCAGCACACTAGCCAGTAATATTTCTAGGCACTATAGTTGTACCTTTGTGGCCTTAACCTTTTAGGCTCACCGATTCAAATCAGGTCGCTAAGTTGAAGACGGCTTGTTATTTTACGCGAAACAAAACGAAAACCCAACAATAAACAAATCCTCAAGTGCCTTGAAAAGGCACAGGCACGACGACCATAGGTAAATCGTTGTACTACCTATCATTTCCATGGTGGCCTAAGATCGTAGCGCCTGAGTGCCCTGTAGGCAGTTTTAGGTTGCTCTACCGAACACTGCGTTTTCTAAATCAGCTGTCCTCTGAGGCATCTAAGGCTATTGCGTTAACCAAAAACACCAAGGCTGCGCGGAAGGTGCAGCACAGTCCCAGCGAAAGCTACAAGAGAGGCCTTTCAGGGTCTATTCTAAACACTACTCATTTGGTAACTGCGGCAAGCACGTTTGCTTGATACCCATTAGGGCACTAATTATAATAATTTCTGGATAATAGACCAGCATTTGCTATGCTATATCCTTTGTCATTCTCCTGAGAAGTGTCGTATCCACTAAGCACTTGCAATGAATTTTGTGCCTATTGTTCATGCAGTGGCTGACGACGATGAGGAATTATGCCTGAAGTGGGTATGTGCCACAGTTAATAGCTGAACAAAAACAAGCTTTTTGTAATCGGTTAAATCATTGGACGCTATTCGCATTGTGTGGCACCTGGTTATTCAATTGCTGTTCTAAAACACTTTATTACTTATAATAACTCCATTTTTCCCCGACATCAAACCTACCTCAAACAAGCTTGCGAACACGTCTGAAGTACCGGCGTGGCGCATCTCAATAAAGAAAACAAAATAAAAAAACTGCGTGGCTCAGTGGTGGAATACTGGGATAGCACGCAGCGGACCCGGGTTCGAGCTCCACTGTGTCCTTGGTACTAGGTTTTTTTTTATTTCGTGCGATGGTGGTTACGGACACCGACAGCGATGAACAACTACGGTAGCACGTGACCAGAGTTCTGACCTCATAACAGCTTTCGCTGTAAAACCTGATTCAAGCATCACCTGTTCACGAAGTGAATTAAATGTGCATGCTCCAAGATGAATGCTTGGGCTTACAGTTGAACAAACATACCTTGTGGATGCGCTGACTAGCCCAGCCAGAAAGAAACCTCGAAGAGCTGCAACGTCCGCCAGGCTCTCCCTCATGTAATAAGGCACAACCTTAACGATAAAATGCACCGGCGTTAGAAGGCACGCGCAGTTACTTTGGTCACTGTTTTCACTGTTTGTCAAGATGGTAATATGTCATCTTGAATATAGAGTGCTTCTTGTGGGGTGCAGTAGTGAGTGCTTGCGTGTGTGAATCAGGCTGAGACAAGTTTCGACTAGTCTTCAGGATGACATAGTTCATGCCTTCTGTCAGTAACTACAAAGTAAGCCTGGTTTCTTAGAGATAAATAAATAACACTTTATTACTGTTGTAAGTGTTACAGTATTTGCACAAGTACCTTATGTATTTTTGTATATTTTTGTATTTTTCTGTATCCTGCAAAATTATTATGTCAGTCTGTCTGCCTCACTGTATTTGGAGCAAAGGCCCTTTGTCAGGCTTTCAGCCTTTTGCCTTCGCTCCATTTTCTGTACTGGCACAGAAAGAAACAAATAAAGAAAGAAAGAAAGAAAGAAAGAAAGAAAGAAAGAAAGAAAGAAAGAAAGAAAGAAAGGAAGAAATGACGCTTCAACTTCGCCTTTAAAAGTAGAAGGCGACAGCGTAATCGGGTTCCGTACTCGTTGCCTTAAACCATATGCCGCAAGAAAAGAAATGTTTTCGTACGTCTAACATTGGATATTTTGAACTATTCTAGATTGCCTACTAGATGTGAAGTTAAGTGCCAACCATGCCATACTTCTTTCTTTTTCTAATTGGAAAAGCACCCACTGCTGTTCTGTAAAGTGCCATGCGAACTTGCAAAGCTGCACATTTTGTAATCGATGGGTAGCTTAAAATCAGCTCTCTTCGTCGCAGAGATCTGGCATAATGGCAAATAAATATACATTATGAGCACTTCTGTCCTGATGCACGATGGTTGCTACTCTCGCCAGCGTGTCCGTATCAATAAAAATGAAACGAAGAGCAGCTAGCACATTTATGAAGATGCGCAGACACTTAATGAATGAGGGCACAACACAAGTATATATACATATATATATATATATATATATATATATATATATATATATATGATTCAAAAAAGAAATTGTGTGGGTCCGGTGCAAATATAATTAAGAATGAAGGAGCACACTTACGAAAATTTGATAATTGTTTACTCTACGTTTCGGCCGTGGCACGGCCTTCGTCAGGTCGAAACGTAGAGTAAACAATTATCAAATTTTCGTAAGTGTGCTCCTTCATTCTTATTTATATATATATATATATATATATATATATATATATATATATACTGTAGGCGTTCAATAAGCAGATCTACTATCTCTACACATGTTCATCATCAGGAGTGGTCGTCATCTTCATCTGCTGTGGGGACTTGGCTTGTCTGAGTTCTGTGCCTTGGGTGTGCTCGCTTCATCGTGCCTTCTGGGCCTAATAAAGGTTGCCTTCACCGTTACATCACAAGTGGTGGAGTGTGCTCTACGATCTTCCGTCCTCTCCCAACCCGCTTTACTTCCTGGAGCTCCGCTCAGGTCATCGTTTGTGCCAGGTGTCCGGTAACATGCCTCAGGACGAGCCAACCGGCGCTTCTGTGTCTACCTCCACGGCCCGGCTACCGTGCCCTATTCATCGTGGATTATCACCGCGCACCAGCGTGAGCCGCCCACGTTTGCCGGACTTCGAGGTGAAGATGTGGAGGATTGGTTGCACCAGTTCAATCGAGCGAGTTCCACTAACAACTGGGATGATCCTACCAAGCTTCGCCGTGTTTTTTTCTATCTGACAGCCGTAGCAAAAACATGGTTTTTCAATCATGAAACGGACATTACGGACTGAACACGTTTCAAGCAGCAGCTTAACCAAATTTTTGGCACCCCGGTAGTTCGTTCAGCTCTCGCGAAGAAGACACTGGATGCTCGCAAGCAACAATGCGGTGAGTCTTACACATCGTACATAGAAGATGTCCTTGCTCTCTGTCACCGTTTCAGCACGTCCATGTCTGAATCAGAGAGCGTTCGTCATCTATTGAAAGGGATCGGCACGGCCGCGTTCAATGCCTTGGTCATACAAAACCCGACCACAGTCGCTGACATTGTTGCCACGTGCCAACGCCTAGAGGAGCTTGAGTCCCAACGGTTACCGCCGGACAGCGCTGAAAACACCACCCCGACTGATGCCTCATTTCGTGCCATGATCCGGGCGATTATACAGGAAGAGCTACAATCTTTCGGCCTCTCAATGACACCGAGTCCACCTCCCCCGTCCAAAACTGTTTTGCACGACGTTGTCAAAGAGGAGTTGGCGTCCATGACCGGGCCAGCGTATGTAGACTCTCCAATACCTCGACTCCAGCCGACATACGCACAAGTCCTCGCTGGCTCACCACCCGTCGTACAACCGATTCCCGCACAATCGACGCCTGTCCCACTGGCTTCGTTAACTCCGAGTGCGCGTAGCCAGCCCTTTCACCCATCATGGCGGCCGCCTCGTCCAATCTGTTATTACTGCGGCTATCGGGGCCACATTGCACGTGTCTGTCGGAAGCGTCAGCAGGACGAGCGTCGTGGATTCGACACCTACGGACGGGATGATGGGACAAGCTGGTACACTTTCCAACGTCATTCTCATGATCCGCCGCAACGTTGCTCACCGTCCCCAACTACGACATCTGAGCCAACCACTTCATACCGCTCTACTAGACGCTGCTCACCCTCACCCCTCCGCCACTCCACGTCTCCACTGCGACCTGTCTCGCAATTCACCAACCAAAGCCCGGAAAACTAACCTCTGCAGCTTTTGGAGGAAAAGCTGCACCGAACGAAAAGACAGAAATTCCTCCAGTGCGTCCATACAACACGATATCTGTTTTAATAGAAGGTGTATACGTGGACGCTTCAATAGACACTGGTGCTTGTTTGTCTGTGATTGATCGTTCCTTGTGCTCACGTCTGCGAAAAGTCACCACCCCTTATGATGGACCTACACTGCTCGCTGCTCAAGGGGACGCCATTAGACCTGCCGCTATGTGCACCGCTCGCGTTTTCATAGCTGGTATTCTTCATTTTGTGAAATTTGCTGTGCTGAGTTCGTGTGCCCACCAGCTTATATTAGGCTGGGATTTTCTGTCTACGGCGAACGCTTCCATCTGATGTCGAGAAAATGTTCACACGATGGGAACTGACTATGCCCTGTATGCGGATGACAAGCCCGTTCGCTTGCTCGCTGCTGAAGATACCGAGCTACCACCTCGTCATCAGCGAATAGTTACCATCACTTCTAATGTGATCGACTCTGGTGACGTGTTTGTCCAACCATCTGCACGCTGTCTCGCAAGAGGTATAGCCCTTGCTTCATGTCTAGCGCGGTTCCACAATGGCTCCGGACTTCTCTACGCTACAAACCAGATGTCTGAGAAAATTATCATTCCTAAAGGCACCACAATGGCTTGTGTTACTGAATCCCAACCGGTCTCTGTTGTTCCGTTTATGCCAGCGTGTTCTGACTTTCCTTCTATTGGATGTTCATCAAGCGTTTCTGTTCTTGCTGCGACTATTAGTCCAGAACTGACCTCTTCACAAACAGATGAGTTGCTTGCCTTGCTACAAAAGCACAGGAGATTGTTTGATGCCCATTCCTCTTCTCTGGGACAGACGTCCATTATTAGGCATCGTATCCAGACCGATGGCACTTCCATCGTACGCCGTCGACCATATCGCGTCTCTTCGTCCGAGCGTGAGGACATTGAACAAAATGTAGCCAATATGCTGCAACGGAACATTATACGTCCCTCCGCGAGTCCTTGGTCATCCCCTGTTGTTTTAGTAAGGAAAAAAGATGGCTCCGTGCGATTTTGCGTGGACTACAGAGAACTTAATAAGATTACCCACAAGGATGTTTACCCCATGCCGCGCATAGACGATGCTTTGGATTCACTGCAAGGTGCCGAGTACTTCTCAAGCCTAGACCTCCATTCAGGTTACTGGCAAATACCCATGCACGAGGATGACAAAGAAAAGACAGCGTTTTCAACACCAGATGGGCTGTACGAATTCAACGGCATGCCATTCGGCCTTTGCAATGCTCCAGCAACATTCGAGCGGATGATTGACACAGTTTTACGAGGCTTGCAATGGAAGACTTGCTTGTGCTATTTAGACGATATCGTTATTTTCTCGTCAACTTTCCCTCAGCAATTGCAGCAACTGGACGAAGTTCTTACGTGCCTTGCAAACGCAGGCCTTCAGCTGAACACCAAGAAGTGCCGTTTTGCGAGCAAGACGATTAAAGTGTTAGGCCACATCGTAAGCAAGGACGGTATTCGTACCGATCCAGACAACATTTCTGCTGTCCAACACTTCCCGCGTCCTCAAAAGCCAAAGATTTGCGCAGCTTTCTCGGCCTCGCTTCTTATTTTCGCCGATTCATTCGAGACTTCGCCTCAATAGCTTCACCATTGCACAAGTTGCTCGGATCAGACGTCGCCTTTGTATGCTCTCCTGAATGTGAAGCGGCGTTTGCCCAACTGAAGTGTGCACTAACACCCGAACCAGTCCTCTGCCATTTCGACGAAACCGTGCCTACGCTCCTGCATACAGACGCTAGTGGTCGAGGCATTGGTGGAATTCTCCTACAGCGAGACAAATCTTCACGTGAGAAAGTCGTCGCATACGCGAGCCGTGCACTGACCCCTGCCGAAAAGAATTATACCATCACCGAACAGGAGTGCCTAGCGGTCGTATGGTCGATACAAAAGTTTTGACCTTATCTCCACGGCCGCCACTTTACTGTGGTTATGGAGCATCACGCCTTGTGCTGGCTCTCGACAATCAAGAACTTGTCCTGCCGCCTTGGTCGCTGGATTCTTCGCTTACAAGAATACGACTTCACGATTACATATGAGTCGGGAAACAAACATCAAGACGTCGACGCACTTTCGCGTTGCCCACTCACTTCGGAGCCACTTAACAAACCCGCCACTGCCGCACTCGAGAAGCTTTCGGCCGTCTCTTCCCTACATGTTTCGTCATTAGCTACCGTGG